CTATTGCCCAGACTGGAGTGCAGTGGCACAATCTCAGCTCACTGCAACCTCTGGCTCCCAGGTTCAAGTGATTCTTCTGCCTCAGTCTCCTGAATAGCTGGGATTATAGGCACATGCTACCATGCCTGGCTAATTTTTGTATTTTTAGTAGGGATAGGGTTTCGCCATATTGACCAGGCTGGTCTCAAACTCTCAACCTCATGTACCACCCATTTCAGCCTCCCAAAGTGCTGGGATTATAGGTGTGAGACACTGTGCCCGGGCTCTATCTGGCTTCTTTTGGAGTCATCCATCTGTAGCACATAGTAGCTCATTCATTCTCACTGTGTAGTATTTCACTGTGGGATTTTACTACAATTTATTTCCCCACCCAAATGTTGGTGGATATTGGGTTGTTCTCAGTGGTTGGCAATTAGGAATTGTGATGAACATTTTTGAACATATCTTCTTGTAAACATATGCACAAATGCCAAGTACTTTTTGACATCTCCCACGTGGATTTAGGTTCACCCTGCTTATACCGCCTCCCACTTACTCCAAAAGTACTCTCATTTCTCATGCTTTCTCACTCAGTAACTTAAAGGCAAAAGGGCACCAGCAGAGAGACAGACAGCACCGCTCAGACATGAGCCAGTTTCTGCTCTGACGGTAGGACTGTAAAAAGGAATGAAACTTCTAGAAGATAATTTGACAATATATATATATATATATATATATATATATATATATATATATGCATTCCTTGGCCCAACAATACCACTTCTAGGATTTTAGTCTAATGAAATAGCTAAATGTATAAGAGAAAACTACAAGGATGCTCATCATGGCATTATTTATACTGGCAAAACACTGGATATTACCTAATTGTTTAGCAATAAGGAATTAAGCCAAAAATAATATATCTCACACAATAGATTATTGTGCAGCTGTTTTAAATGGCTATTTAAAGACCTTGATTACTTCTGAATGAAAATATCAGATAGCAATATGGCACATATAATCCTGAGCCCAATTATGTACCTGTATTTAGAGAGATCTGTGACAGTGGTCACAGAAATATTGCTTATTTTCAGGAGATAGAATTCAGGGTTACCTTTTTAAATTTTATACGAGCATTTCTGTATTAATTTAATTTTTAGCAATGAACACACCTTACCTTTACAACTCAAATTTTAAAACTAAAGTTATTTTCATCTTAAAAATTAAATAGGGGCTGGGCATGGTGGCTGACACTGGTAATGACAGCACTTTGGTAGGCCAAGGCGGTCTGATCACGAGGTCAAGAGATCGAGACCATCTTGGCTAACATGATGAAACCCCATCTCTACTAAAAACACAAAAATTAGCATGGCATGGTGGTACACGCCTGTAGTCCCAGCTACTCGGGAGGCTGATGCAGGAGAGTCACTTGAACCTGGGAGGCAGAGGTTGCAGTGAGCCAAGATCGTGCCACTGCACTCCAGCCTGGCGACAGAGCAAGACTCCATCTTAAAAA